GATCCATTGATATTGTACTATTCGTGTAAAAGAAATGATCCAATTATATTGTAAACAATATAAATGGATCATTCTTTACACGAATAGATTTCTTTACACGAATAGTATGTGAACTGTATCAGCCTTAAAAGGTAACAATGAGCTGTTTCCACAGGAGACTGTACTTGTTTACTTATGTGGACTGTATCAGCCTGAAAAGGTAACAATGAGCTGTTTCCACAGGAGACTGAACGTTGTTTACTTATGTGGACCGTATCAGCCTTAAAAAGTAACAATGAGCTGTTTCCACAGGATACTGTACTTGTTTACTTATGTGGACCGTATCAGCCTTAAAAGGTAACAATGAGCTGTTTCCACCGCGGGGAATCTAATCTCGGATTTAAGGGTTATAATACCTCAGCTTTAGTGTTCACGACAATTCTTATTTTTAATATCCTCTAAATCTACTCACATCATTAAAAGTGAACAAATACAATTAAAAAACGACACGGTTTTATTATCGTAAACATCCTGGTTATGTATAGAATATTCAAAACAAAATTAAGGTAACTTCCAACGGTTTTCGTGTGAGCCAAGAAACTCCAGTAATCAGATTTTACTATTATAACATAAAAAAGTCATTTATTTAAAAATCATTAAATTATTTGAACGAATACCTCCCGTGTTTCTACACGAATAGTACAATATAAATGGATCAAGTAAACAAGTACAGTCTCCTGTGGAAACAGCTCATTGTTACCTTTTAAGGCTGATACAGTCCACATAAGTAAACAAGTTCAATCTCCTGTGGAAACAGCTCATTGTTACCTTTTAAGGCTGATACAGTTCACATAAGTAAACAAGTACAGTCTCCTGTGGAAACAGCTCATTGTTACCTTTTAAGGCTGATACAGTCCACATAAGTAAACAAGTACAGTCTCCTGTGGAAACAGCTCATTGTTACATTTTAAGACTGATACGGTCCACATAAGTAAACAAGTACAGTCTCCTGTGGAAACAGCTCATTGTTACATTTTAAGGCTGATACAGTCCACATAAGTAAACAAGTACAGTCTCCTGTGGAAACAGCTCATTGTTACCTTTTAAGTCTGATA